GCCCAAGGCTTATATTATCATAGAAAAAAGAGGTCGGGGTCCTCACAGTCTACCCGGGAAAGGAACCACCTGGGAGCGTTACCCAGTTTTGCTTACATAACTGAACCTGCAGGGGCCAACTCCCCGAAAATTAAAAAATGCAAAAGAACCAAAATGATAGTAATCATTTTATTCCTAGACCCAGACCAAAGTTAATTGAATCCTATGTCCAGACCTCTCAGCCCTTAGGCTGTCTGAAAAGATTGATCTGCTAGCCTGGATGATAGGACTCAGAACTGGAGTACAAGCCTATGGGTTCCCGCATCTATGCTATTCCTTTTCAGGCATCCAATGATATATCCCTACTGTATTCTCAGTTCGACGTCCATCAGAATTAGACCCAACCTTGGGCCTCGCACTATTGGTTACGACGTTGGACTTTCATCAGGAGATTCAGAGATCGAGATCGAGCGACGACGATGCGGGATATCAGAGTAGCACGGAGGGACCGAGGGGTTGAGGGTTTGGTGGGGATATCCTTTTTGGTTTTGACGTCGGCAATGTCAGAATGGTGCCAACGTTTTCTTTTTCCTCGTTCGTCATATTCCGATGATTAAAAGTTTCTAGGTATTATTATTATCATTATTTTGTTCTGGTACTCCTTGACTCAGGCGCGACGCTGGATTTAGAGGTCATCACGGCGGTCGAGGACCTTGAGCACACGCCTCTTTTGATTGACCTATAGGCTCCCGCGCGCCGGGATGTTGACGAAAATTTTCTATCCCGCCCGTCTTAAAATACGGACCGAGGAAGTCAATGTGTACGCAAGTCGGTGGGTGATTACCTGCAAGGCGGAACGGCCTAGGGTGTCGAGGACCTAACGGGGGCATACAGCCTACTAGTGGCCCGCGACCTGCTATGAGAGGTTTGGGAGGGAGTTTGCCCGTTAGGGCACGGAACTATGCCTGGGCACAGTAGTGAGGAGCGGCCTAGGACATTGTGGGGAGGCCGCAACGGCGCAACGGGAAGCCACAGGCCACAAGGAACCCCCTTCCTGTGTCGGTTTTGTACTAGACTAAGATCCGTCGGGAGGACTGTTTCCCCACGGCTCATATCACAGTCTGCGGCGGGGCAGTGCCCCCGATTCCACGACCTGCTGTGAAAGGGGTAAGTGGGAGTAAGCCCATTGGGGACCAGAGGAGGTGGTCGGCTCAACCGGAGTAAAGCGGGCAAGGGAAGGCTGCAGCGGGGCTGGCAGCGAAACCAGTTGGGCGCACTGTTGTCGAGCAGGGACAAAGGGGGAAGACTAATCGACCGGTCCGGTAGTCGGTCGATTTCGGAATATCGCCCACAATGAGTCTGATCAGAATGTGTTGAGCGTTGTGGGGCCGCTGCGGCCGGATGCGGCATCAGTAGCAGGAGAACGAGGTGAGGAGACTAACAGCAGACGACCGGGTGAAGGTAACAGAGGAAACGGGTGCTGAGGCTGTGGAACGAGGCAAA